GTAGCGCAGGGAAAGGTTAGGTCAAGCATCGTGTGTGTGTAGCGTAGGGAAAGGTTAGGTCAAGCATCGTGTGTGTGTAGCGTAGGGAAAGGTTAGGTCAAGCATCGTGTGTGTGTAGCGCAAGGAAAGGTTAGGTCAAGCATCGTGTGTGTGTAGCGCAAGGAAAGGTTAGGTCAAGCATCGTGTGTGTGTAGCGCAAGGAAATATATTGTCAGACATCGCGTGTGTAGCGCAAGGAAAGATGTGGTTATATTTGTGTCTGTCCGGGTACAAAGAAAGAAGCAAGCCTTATTATCGCGTGAAGAAGAAATTGAAAAATTGTTCAAACACATAAAACAACTGACTCGTATATATGTTCTTCATTTTATATATTGGTCTCGTTACCTGCATTCAATGTCGTAAAACAATTTGCAATGATTAGAAAACACTGATTCACCAACTAGGTAACCTTGTTGTTAATCGACGTTTTCGGCCGTAATCCCATTAATATCTCGCGAGTTTCAGTCAGCTCGAGAGATTTAAATTTGTTTTAAATCTATATACTAAGCTAACAATGGAAACTGATTTTCACAAGTGGAAAAAATAAAACATTAAGTAACTAATATATAAATATATTAAACATTAAAATCAACACTTAACGAAGTAACAAAAGAGTGTGTTATAACTTGTGTAACTTTATTAACTTTAGTTACACGTTCAGATTATATCCGGATAGCAGTATAATGAGAAACTAATATTTCAATAAAAATTAAACCATATCTTACATCTTGTGTAATTCGAGATCATTGTTTTTGCTTTTAATTTTTTTGTTCTTTTTTTTTCTAACAGAATACTGTACTGATTACAGGATCACGTGTAATTTGGTTACATATTTTTTCTTCTTCCTCTAAGCCTTTCATGTGAAAGAATGTCATTTTTATTCGCTATTATTTATAAGCGTTGAAGTTTTTTAATCGTAGAGTTTATTCTTTGTTTAACACTTGCGTTTATATATATTGCAATTGTTTAAAAACATATATGAGAAACGAGTGAAATTGTTTTAAAAAATCAATTCAAAGTGATTTTGCTTGATAAAAACCACGAGAGAAAAAAAAAAATTCCATAATTTTCATACTAGCCCAACTTCCTAAACAGTCATATCCTGGATTTTTTTTCTAGAAAGAATCAGTTTATCAGCTGTAGTTAGTTGAAAGGCTCTACTCATGAAGTACTTGTGCGAAAGTAAACAACTCAACGTGGTCTCAAAATTAGAAATGCATGAAATATTCAACAATAAAAACTTAAACAGGACGATTTGAAAGAAATTGTCCAAAAGAAATAGAACAACGAAAGTGGCTGAGGATTCGGGAGTATTAAACTATTCCTTTAATGTATAAAAAAAAGTATTTATAACAATACAAGTTTTTTTAAACACTTCCACGTCTTCTTTAAAGTCAACATTTACACGTTATTGTCAATTTCCAAATAACTACATAGTCGGTCCCGAGAGCCCTCAAAATCCATTGTTTACCTTTTCTTTTTTTTTTTTTTTTGCAGGAGGGGAGTATCAATATCCAAAAGTGGATTCTTATTTTGAATGGTATCTCGCGTGTTAATAACAAGTAGTTCAAATCTGAGACCCCCCCCTCCCTTCTTATTTCGGGGCATATAATATTTCAATATTTATTATTTTTTTAATCTGTATTAACTGTTGTTGATTTCAGGATGTCATTGAATTACATCATAATTTCTTTTATTATTATCAGATGTTTGGGTAATCTGAAAGTTATTTAGTAATAAAATGTCATAGTTGTACAAAATCGATTTGAAAAATATAATTTAAGTTGGTCTTGATGATACAAGGTCAGGTTTTTTTTTTTTTGTCAATCAAAATTTTATACTTCAGATACAAAAAAAACTACGTCGTGTTTTTGTTGGAAAATATTTCATAACTTTCGTTAAACGATTTTAAACAAAAGACTGCTTTATTTTCAGGGATTTCTGCGTATATACAAACAGTTCTTTCCGCAGGGAGATCCGGCTACTTTTGCGTCACTGGTGTTCCGGGTGTTTGACGAAAACAAGGTAAACTAGTTTGTTCTTAAAATACGGGGTTTCCGAAAAGTCTGTAACCATAGGAATTTCAACAAATTTTACAGAATGTCTTCCACATGCTGTCCTTGTAATTCGAAACAAGTTTGGAGACGATATTTCCATTCTCTTTGAACACTGAGAAACGTGTTAGTGTTATTGTCAATGGTCCATCCACACTGCCAATATCGTTATATTTAGCTAGAAACTTCCCAACAGCACTGTGAGTGATATTTCAATCTCTCTCTAGATGGCGTACAGTAAACTTCCGCTAGGATGAATCTTCTCTGTCTCATAGCAGGATTAACTCGACCTTCTCGTGCTTTTAACAGCACCGTAATCAGTCGCATATCTGAAATTAGGAAAAGCTGCAAATCACTTGTGGTTCCAGACTTTTCGGACATCCTGTAAAATAATTGGTCGGAAGTGTATCCGATGGTTCATGGTTAGCAACCCGTTGGGGAAAAAAACAACAACTCAACACAGTTTGATTACTGTGAATGCACTATAAGAGTAACAGTCAAATCCTATTGTTCGATCAAATAAGAGTTAGCCCATTAGTTGGCGATAGGTGCTGTTGACTAGTTGTCTTCCCCTCTGAGTCTTTCAGCTCAGTATTAGAAACGGCCTTTTGTGTAACTGTGCATGGAGATCTTTCCTGGTGTTTGTTTACCCTCTAACAGTGGCATTTTTGTGTGTGTGTGTGTGTGTTGTTTTTTTTAGGGCATAATGGGGTAAAGAGTTAGTTGGAGCAGAAAAATTAACACTTTAATGTCGATGAGAGTAGCAACGTAGGGCAATTTAAAAAAAACCCTGAACTATGGAGGAGTGCATAGGGCTCTCGAATGGGGGGGGGGGGATGTGCTGCTCTAAGCCCAAGGTTAAATCGGTTCTGAAAGTGTCACCCACCTTTAATTGACAAAGATGACGTTTATCAGAAATATACCACCAGCTAGCCTTGCATTGTTTACACGGCATAAGCGTGAACCGCTGCGTTATTTAAAACGATATTCTTTCTGTTCAATATCCACTTCTTTCTCTCTTTTTTTTTTTGTTAGAACGTAAAGTAAGTTTATGCGCTGTGCATCAGTCTCGTTTTTTATTTTCCATCAGGGCTAAAAAAATAATTACATTCGTTGTGTATTACATCTTAAACTGTGGTGACGCAATAGCTAATGATGCACAATAAACGTATTTGTCTTCCTTCTCCCCTCCCCCCCCCCCCGTCTCCCTCTCTTTCTCCGGTTTTAGTGCGCATTGAAATATTTTTTAGTATCATGTAATTTATCAATGATATGTTTATGCATTAATTGAAACCTTTCACCCACCCTTTCTGATAGCTTAGCAACAAGATTGAAGGTGGCTCATAAATATAAAATTTGGGGCTTGATCCCTGTGTTGGGTACACCGCAGGTAGCCCATTTTACAGCTTTGTGTTTAAACAACAACAACAACAAAAACAGTTAGATGCAAAAGGCATCGATCACCATCTTGTATACAAAGTTTTGTCATTGGAAAATGTATTTTATTCTCAAGATTGTAAATTGTGAAGCCTCGTGGCCATTATAAAAAATAAATGATAGTATATCAATGAATACGTAATTTTTTAAGCTTTTTGCTGTGTACAATAGGTGTAAATTTTAACTCCTAAACGATATACAAGATGGTCTAAATAAAATAAAAATACTTTCATTCTTATGTTTATTTGAAAGAATTTTCTGTGAAAACAGTTATTTCAGCTAACTCATCTTCATTGTAATTTAATATATTTAAGTTTTTTCGTTAGAACAAGGTTAGTATACATGTAAACATGATATCTTTCTCCCTTCTCTTTCACAATAATGATCATGTTCAATGTTGTTGTTTTTAGAATAGATTGTTTTCTGATGAGAGATCCATATGCCTTTTTCTGTTTATATGCTAGGATGGCACCATTGAATTTGAAGAGTTCATTCGAGCCCTTTCTGTGACGTCAAGAGGAGGCTTAGACGAAAAACTCGTCTGTAAGTAGAAGAAAAAGGTGTTATGTATAATGCGCACACGTGCGCATTAACATGTATTTTATACTAAAGTTGATATGAAGAGAACTTGATATAATTTATGGTGAGAGAGGTTGAGTCACGTCTTGTTCGTTAAATGGATTGTTCGTACTATTCGTATTGCTAGGTTGAAATCTATTGGTCGATGTGGAACCATTTTATGATTCGTATTGCTAGGTTGAAAGCTATTGGTCGATGTGGAACCATTTTATGATTCGTATTGCTAGGTTGAAAGCTATTGGTCGATGTAGAACCATTTTATGATTCGTATTGCTAGGTTGAAAGCTATTGGTCGATGTAGAACCATTTTATGATTCGTATTGCTAGGTTGAAAGCTATTGGTCGATGTGGAACCATTTTATGATTCGTATTGCTAGGTTGAAAGCTATTGGTCGATGTGGAACCATTTTATGATTCGTATTGCTAGATTGAAAGCTATTGGTCGATGTAGAACCATTTTATGAAGTGAACAGTTTCATATCGTACATGCGATAGGTATTATCTTACTTCTGAATGAAGATTCTCCTGTATCAACCAACACTTCTAGTCATCTACTGTAGTAAGTTTGTGTGTGGTACAAAATAGAAGATTAAGGAAATCCAAAGTACTAAAGGCGGTTAAATCGTTGACCACGATGGAAATTCTTCAAATAGTTATAACTGAAAACTTTAACGGTGATACTAATGAAACTCGATGAATGAAATATAATGAATTTAAGGAACCACTGATGTTTCTTACAGGGGCATTCAAGCTTTATGATGTGGACAATGACGGATTCATAACACGAGACGAAATGTACAGTATTGTTGACGCCATCTATAAAATGCTGGTGAGTGTCACTGACGCCAGTTACCAAGATGTTGGTAAAATTTGTAATGACACTGTAAAATTTAAATAAATATATTTATGTACGAATCATATAACTTAACAATACAGCAGAGCTTTTCCCAAGGATTTTTTCCACTACACAATTATATTTTATCTTCATCATTTTCTTAATGGATGGCGTCTTATTACACTTCATATATATATATATATATATATATATACGA